CTTCCCAAGCACTTGCCTTTTGGCCAGGAGGGCCAAAGGCTCTTTCTCAAGGGCCTCAGTTTGCTCTACTCTAGCAGCTGGCCAGTAAAGGAGACCAACATAGTTTTGCTGTGTGCAGCTTGTCAGAGGTCAAATACACACCACTACGGTGTGTGGTGTCCACACCTCAGCAGTCTAGGAAGGAGGTTTCCTTTCAGAGACTGTTTCTGCACTTGCATATCTCATGGAGCAGCTCAAGGGCAACTCTTAGTTTTCCATGGCATCTCCTGGTATGATTATGTTTCCTAAACTCCTGCTGTAGCCATGAAGCAGAATCCAGTGATGTATACAGATACTCATTATGATCTTTTCTTTAATACTGAATTTCCAGGGTAAAAATACTTTCTAGCTGAAGATGTAATTCACTTTAATTTCTTTTTTCAAACATGAAATACCAAAAAGGTAATTATGTCTGATCTCTAAAGCAGGTGATTAATTACACTGTGTTGATGGTTGGTGTAAGATCAATGTATTGACTGTAGATTTGCACTGGAAGCTTCAGGAGTAGTTATAATAAAACTGGTTTCCAGTGTCTTGGTGCAAATTATCCTTCTTGTCTTAAAGGCAACCATGCTATTCAGACAGCATTTGCAATTTTATGATTTGGACAAAAGGTTAGTATTTTTATTACAATTAAAAGCATTCATTATTATGTCATGGGTGTAAACAGTACTGCAAATAAATCGATTAGCTCAGTGGAGGTGCCACTGCATGCATGTTTGCAATCTGACCATCATTTATTTATCTTTGGTGTTCTCATAGACCTGCTTGGATTAAAGCCTGCTCCCAATAATGGTACCCATGGAAGTTTAAATCACCTACTGAGAGCCAATGTTTATAAACCAACTGTGCCAGATGAAGTTGCTAAACCACTCTATCCTGTTGCTCTACCTTCTGCAACAGATTTTGATATAGGATGTACATGTGATGATAAGGTAGGTGTTTAGAATCTCCTGATGCTTCCGCTATTAGCAGTAGTTGCCTAGTAAAGTTGTAGCTATTTTATCTATTTTGAGAGAGTTTGATCTGTAAGAATTTCCCAGATCCTTCCTATGAAGTGTTTGTGCCCTTTTGGAACAATTATGGCTTTTTGTAAAACAGGAAACAAAAAAATTGTGACTGTTTTATAGTACCAGTTGTGTTTTGCTAGATGCCTAGTACAACAAGATGTCAGAATACTCCAGTGATCCTTATTTTATTCCTTTTTTCTGTTCTTGAGAAGAACAAGTTGGATGAACTCAACAAGCGCTTTCATGTCAAGGGAACAGAAGGTAAGAATCTTGTGCCTCAGTTAACAAAAGCTATTTTGGAGTTTTTCTGCAAGTTAGTTTGCATCACAGATAGCAGACAAACTCCTATTTTGCTTTAGTCAATGTGTAATAAACCATCTTTTCAAATAGCTGTCAAAGTAGCACATAGACATACCTGCGATATTTGGGCGAGATTGCTGCTCATGGGAGGAAATACACACTATCTTTTGCTGTAACCAGGACTAAAGTATTGCTCAAAGTGATAGTTTTAGCTCTTCCTTTCCATCACCGTTAGGAAGTTTGAACTCTGCTGTGGAAGTGGAGAGATAAGGAAAGGAGAGGGAGCCTGAGGCAGTCCTCCACTCAATCACAAGTGATAAATGTGGTAAAAAACATAGACCACATCTGCACACTGTGCTTTATCAGTATTGTTCAGGCTTAGGTCTCACCAGGTCAGTGGTAGAAAGGATGGTACAGCTACTTTGACGATCCCTGACTGAGTCTTTAGTGCTTGGTTCTTAGAATCATAGAATCATTAAAGTCAGAAAAGACCTCTAAGATCATTGAGTCCAACTGTCAGCCCAACACCACCGTGCCCACTAAACCATGTTATCCACTGAAAGAAATGCATAGATGCTTTGCTGGTTCAGGGATGCTTAATATGATCCCATCCCTCATCAGTGTTCAAGTCGCTGTTACTCCCAGGAGAAAGCATCTCCTGCTCTCCTGTACACTAGTTCCTGCACCCTCCCTGCTGTATGCCAGCGCTGACTTTTGTGTGGCTGCGCTCTCAGCTGCATCAGGGCTGTGGTCCAGGTCCAAACGTAGCAATAGGACTGGAGGGGAGGGGATGGGCACTGCTTTTCTGAGCAGCAATTCTGCCTGAAAGGCACACCAAAGCAGAGCTTTCCCCCTCACAGCTGTGGTCCAGTTCAGTATAACAATTCACAGCATTCCCCTCACTGTAACAATTGTCCAAATTAGCAAATTCTGAAGCACTGAGTTGAGGCATGGACTTTTGAGGTACTTCAAATTGTATTGCTCAGGTGACTAAGGAGATTTTTATTTTTTAATTCCCTTGTGAAGCTACTTCTTCGGTTTTTCTGTTGTGAACAAACAATGCAGCCTATCCTCTAGTTTCCAGAGGTGAAATTGTTCCTTCTTGTTGTAAATTAAACTGCTCTTCTGCAGCTTTCATCTTATTAAACTGATTTTTCCAGTTAGTGAAGAGCTACTCCCTGCTGTGACAATTTCTGGCATCAGAAAAAAACACCCTCACCATTGTACTCCTAGATATCGCAACATCTTTATTTTGGATTAAGGCTTTGGTGCTTCTTCACTTCAGTCATATAAAATAGTATTTTTAATGTATTTTAAGATATAAGTATTGAAACCAAGTTGTCTGTTAAGTGGAATGAAGTGTCCCTTGTTTAAACAACAAGCAGTTCTGCTACATGCAAGTTATTTTGTTGTATTTTATGACCGGCTGTAGCACCTGTTCATGGATCTTCCTTCATTTAGTTGATAATTCCCTTCTCCTGCATACATAGTGCACATTTCATGTTTAGCTGATGTTGTTATTCATATGCAGGAGAAAAACATTATTTCAGCTTCTCTTGAATAAAGCAAGTTTATAATCTTTGTCCTTAGGCAAGGATTTTCCTACTTTTCTTTCTTGTGTCCTATAAAAATACCCTTTATTTGGACTCAAACACTAATAAAACCTGCCTTTTTCTTTCAGGTTAAAAGCTGATCTCTGAACAGTGTTAGGCTGCTTTCCTTGTTTCTGTGTTTTGATTTCCAAAAGCGGGCGAAGCCTGTTTGCCAAATGGTTATCAAAGTCAATGAACTGTGCAGCACAATGAAAGATTAAGCAGGAAATTTATTTTTATTCTATCATCTCTTTCAATTATACTTTTGTCTTTTTACAGCAAGCTTGTTAGAGGTATCTAGTGACATTTAACCATAACATATCACGAAGACAGAAGAAAAGCAAGTTTTGCAGAGGTGTCTTTTTGTAGACAAAGTTAGAAAAAGGGTTTGTTTGTTTTTTTGTTTTCTTTTTTATTACTGACAGAAAATAGCACATCGGTTTTCCGAATATCGTCAGTATCAGCCAAGTGAAAAAGATGCAAAACACCTCTTTTAGTGAATGAGCGCTTTTTGGAAGAGACTTTACAAAAAACATAGGAAGGAGAGAAAGTGTGGACAAGAGTGAGGAGTGATAGGATAGGGGCTGATTTAAAGCTACAAAGAAAGTACTTATCACCTCTTGTGTGACTGAAAAGTGGACATAAAGATCCTTGTGGAGTTTCCTGTGTTTGGAGAAACACCCTCTCTCCATGTTATGACCCCAACAGGCTTCCAAGTGCAGAAGGGACTTTTAACCTCAAAATGGGTTGTGACCCTCGAACAGGGATCTCAACAAAATATTGAAGAACCTCTGCTCTTCAGAGAAATGAGATTTCCTTTCAGAGTCAGTATCGCATTAAGGATCACTGTAAAATCAGCATGCATTGTAAAACCAAGCTCTTTTTTTTTTTTTCTTCCTTTTTTTATCTTTAAGGCTTTCAGTAATAAACGTAATTGTAATTTCTTCTGATCTGTAGAGAAGCATCTCCTGTATGGGCGCCCCGCAGTATTGTACCGCACAAAATACAATATCTTGCATCACCATGACTTTGAAAGTGGCTACAGCGAAACATTCCTGATGCCTCTCTGGACATCCTACACTATTTCAAAACAGGTCAGCGCTGTCTTTGCTCTTGGAAAATGCTTAAAAATTCCTGGGGAAGTCTGTTTGGTACCTTTATTCTTGAAGGCCTAATATCCCCCTTCCCCAAGTACAGTTTCCCACCAGAAATTATGTTGAATACCATTGAAAACAATGCCAAAACCTCTTTTTTACCCTCAGGAGAAAAGAGTTTTAAGGAAAAAGGGCTGTATATTTTGGCTCCTGTTTTAATTTTCTAAATTTTTTTCAATGGGGGTTGTTTTATTATGATAGCATAACCAGCAACTTGAATTATTTCCCATATTGACTTCTGTTACCTGAAGGAGGGTCTCTGTGGCAGGTATGGGAGCAAGACTTGGTTGTACAGCTGAGTGGTTTATTTTACTGCACACAGGACCTTCCATCTAATCTGATGACTATATTAAATTGTTTTCCTTTGACTATAAATGCTGGAATTACCTTTCTTGTAATTTCTGTGTATGTTCCTCAACACAGGCAGAGGTATCAGGTGTCCCAGAGCATCTGGCCAACTGTGTGAGGCCTGACCTCCGCATTTCTCCAGGAAACAGCCAGAGCTGCGCAGCCTACAGAGGCGACAAACAGCTCTCTTATGGCTTCCTTTTCCCTCCCCGTAAGTTCAGATAGCTTTTTAATACCTAGAGATTTTGTAACTTGTTTTGTTTTGGTTTTTGTTAGGGAAAACTCTAGGCATGAAAAAACCCTCCCATCAATGGTTTATACACAGACTAAGGGGTTTTTTTGAGATTGTTGGGAAAGAATATGGGTAGGAATGGTATAATTTCCCCTTCTCCGAGGTAGTTTCTTGCTCCATGATGTCTTCTCCTCAGAGGAGCTACTTCTGCACTGGTGTCATATATGGAGCTAAATGGGATGGATACATTTTTCTTGCTTCACGCGCTGAGAACCAAGGGCCCAATGCCACAAGTTGCCATTATGGCTGTGGTCCCTCAGCTCCACGACTGATGCTCCAAACTCATGCCTAGTTTCATGCACCAAAACTGAAGTGTCCCCGTTTAGTTAATAAAAATAAAGATGAGCAAAGAATTGCACAGAATAGGAGTACAAGCTGGAAGACCATCTTCAAAAGCTGTCCCTTTAAAGTCAGTGGATAGATACCAGCTTGTATGAACTGTGAACCTAATCAGTTTTTAATTTTTAATTTGAACATTAGAAAGATAAACATATATTTAATTTATAAACCCATATTAGACTCTTGTATGCTATAAAAATTTCTACCATCCTATAGAAAGAGTGCTTGTAGAAAACCTGTGTCAATGAGTGTTCTGGATTCTCCTGTTGCATTTACATTGGTTCAGTCTTGGAGCAGTGATCTGTGATTAGTAAATGTTCAAGGGACACAACTGCCTCACAGCTGTGAACTTCATTGCTCTGCCTTCCTCACTCAGTGGCTGAAATATTTTATGGTGGATTTCTGCTATGGAATTATTGGTGCAGAGACTTTTTCAGAACTAGAAGATAATCTCACACTCCTCTCCCTGGAAATTATGCGCCTCTTTTGCAAAAGTCTCTCTGACTTTTGAGACTGCAAAAATATATGAGCTATAAAAATATTTTGAAGCGGTTGACCGTTGAAGTAGAGAGAAAATCTTTACCTTCTATCTCCAGCTATCACATTGAGGCAAAATTTAATGCATATAATATGCATTTCTGAATATAACATTCAGATTGCTGTTTAGATGACAGTATTCCCTTTCATTGATCTCTGAAGCCATTTTTTAATTTACTTTTATATTCCTTGAATTTCTGATATTTCACCTTATTAATATTTTTCTGGTTTACTGTTTCAGAATTAAGTTCCTCTGCAGAAGCAAAATATGATGCTTTTCTAATAACAAATATCATTCCAATGTATCCTGCCTTCAAAAGTAAGTGCCCTTTCCATGGCTTTACTTCTCTTTCCCAGCATTTAATTTTTTTAATGATATGTGTGTTGGCCTATGGAATGAATTGATGGGAGAAGTTTAGAACATAAAGTTCAGTTACCTGTTGCCAGCAGATAATACATGTGGAGACCTGTATTGTTCTAGATATGGGCAGGCAAAATACCACAAGAAAGGTTTAAGCTTTAAGAAAAGTTTGTTTTCCTTGGTGCTGGAGCACAGATGTGCAGTAGTTCAGCAATTTTGCTTCATGCCACAGTAATTCAATTTGTGTAAGACCGTTCAGATTTTCTTGTCTGTAGACCAAGCTAGTGCAGAATGTACTTAGGCAAGATGTTTTTAATTCTCAACTGGAGCCATCTGGGAGTGTGCACAAGCCTGGGAGTATGTACTTAGCATGCCATTGCAGTTCAGGGACAAGAGATTATTTTTAATTTTCTATTCATGCCCTTAGAGGGAGATGAAACATATTTATTACCTGTAAAGAAAAAGGAAGAGGGAACCAATTTATGGAAAATGCGGAATGACTTTAACCTGGCTGAAACTTTCAGCACTGCAGGGACATAATATTAACGTTTCTTTTGTCTGCACATCCCTTTTCTCTCTAGTTTTGCCAAGAGGTAGGAAAACCACTAGACTATTCTGGTGGCATTTTTGGCTTGGCAGGAATTGAGAAGCCTTGGAAGAATCTCAAGAGCCTGTTCTTGTGAGATTTCCAATTCAGATTTTAGGCCAGAGAGGTTTGGATAAACATCAAAGCCTATGGGAGGCTTTTTCTTTTTGACCAGAAAATAGTGTTTTTAACTGAAAAACCTCTGAGTAGGAACAAGTGGTGATGTTTGCTGGAAATTTGAGCAAAGGCACTTAACTGATTACAGAGTGCGAAATTATTGGGGATTTCCCACTCTCAAATCACTTCATAAAGATGCTCTGTACGCTAATGTTAGTCTAAGCAAATTAGCTGAGAAGCTAATCACAGGAGAACAACCCACCAGCAGCCGCTCATTTTTCTAGAGGCTTTCCTCTTCATCACAAGTGGGTGAAGGAATCCCTGGGAACAAATGCTGGAACTAATATCATTCTTGGGGAGTTACGAGCCACTACGTGTGCAGGTTGCAATGTGGAGGGCTGATTATAAGCTCATTATACGAAGCTTTTTCCACAACAGGGAAAAAACAAGGTGGCAGTTTTAGGCTACACTGACTTTGGTGGCAGTGCTGGCTGCAGAGGCCCCCACCTCTGCTTTGTTTTTTTTAATTCACTGTCCCATGCCATCTCCCCAGGCAATAATTCTGTATCGATCTTTCCTGTAGTGAGTCTGGCTTAAGCAGCTCACGCTTTGCTGGAGCTGCAAGATGGTGCCCAGGGGCTGGCCTGCCATTGCACTGGCGTTGCGGTCTGTGTGGCTGCAGTGGGAACCCAAGTGGGGAACTGATTCAGCTGGAAAACTCGGGACAGGGGGGAGAATCTTTCCTTTTTGGGCTATTTTTATTGCTAAGGCTGATGCATTGGAGGAGCGAGCAGCTGGAGGAGTGGTACTGCCAAGTGGTTACCGCAGCTGAGCTTCTTGTTAGACCATTGCTTGTGGGGCCCTCCACATCAGCCGGGGCAGGGAGTTCATCTGGCACAGAGCAGTTATAGGACAAGGCGTCCTGGGGAACTTGCTGAGGCTGGTGTTGCTGTCAGCACCAGGGAACCATGGATTTAACAATCTGAGCTGGCAAGGCAAAAGTTAAACTTTTACAAGTTTGAGATGCTTTGTTTACACACATTTCTGTTAGTGTTAAAATAAAAAGGAAAAAAGAGACTAATTATGTAACTGGACATTCCAGAGTTCTTCCTGTCTCTGCAAGCCTTTTAACTTATTAAGGTTGAGGAGGGTGTGGTGGGAGAAAGAGTATCACACACACTCTTCCCGAAAGTGGCTGTAATGAGATGCCATGCCATAATTTGATCATCCTTGAGGGCACCTAATTTAAAATAAAGACTTTTTGTATCCAAGGAGAGTTCAACTGGAAGAATATGACCTTTGTACTTCCCTTTTTTTAAAAATGTTTGTGTTTTGCTTTTAATCATGGTGCTGTTTCCTTTTTAGAATAAAAAACACCACAGCACCATTGCCTGTAAGTAGATAAGAAAGAGAAAGGAAGTGTTTACAGGGACATCAAAAGTGTGTGAATAGCTGTTTCTACTGCTTGGTGCAGGAACAGCAAGCTCTCTGTGCAATGTCTATGGCAATGCCAGTCTGGGAGTGGTACCGTGCATTTCTTTTATCGCTGGCTGGGGGAAAAAATCAACAGAGAACAAAGAAGTCTGAATGGGCTTTATTGACCAAACTGAATGAAGCTGCAGTAAATCTGTAATGGTTAGTCTTTGATTTCCCCTGCCATCGTGTGAATTACGTCCGCTGGATTTTTATTTTCAGGAAAAAAAAAAGTTTATAATCTTGACATGTTTTAGCTTATCCAAATTTGGGGGTGTTTTATTTTTTGTTGTTTTTTTTTTTCCCCACAGAGGTATGGAACTATTTCCAAAGGGTTTTGGTGAAGAGATATGCCACTGAACGAAACGGAGTCAATGTTATAAGCGGACCAATCTTTGACTATGACTATGATGGTTTACATGATACGCCTGACAAAATAAAACAGTAAGAGTTTGTCTTTAGACTGATTTGCTGTTGCTTCTCTTAATGAAGGCTTTATCTTAAACAATTCATTCTCTGCACATTATTTGATTTTTGTGAGGAGATAGAATTTTCTTGCTCTTTCTAAAATTATTGTTCATCAAGACTGAATGACCCTGTAGGTAGATAGTGCTAAAAATAAGGAAATGGCAATTCAGGAAGTAACTGTTCACCTTGACTTTGAAATTAAATGTTCATTCATCCTTGAGATGAAGCTGAATTATGTTTCAAATAATCTATCTTCTCTAAAATTCTCCAGAACTTTAGAGTTGACAACCGGTTACCAGAGCAAACCACAGCAGTGCTATTGCGTCAGGTACTCGAGTCTTTTGTTAATTCAGTAATGTTTTCTCTCTGTGTCCCTGAACTGAAGAAGCCTTTCAGCACTGGCGTATGGTATTTCTATAAAACAGTATCAAAACATGAACTAATTGAATGCTCATTTTCAAGCAGTGTCTGGGAATCACACACATCTCAACAACGGATGTGTGTCCTCACATGTAGGGGAGGAAAGACCATGCTGTTTGTGCAACCTTCTTCCAAACAGGTTTATCCTTTGAGGATAAATGTTTGCTTTATTCCCCCAGGTTTGTGGAAGGCAGTGCCATCCCTGTCCCTACTCATTACTACACCATCATAACCAGCTGCTTAGATTTCACTCAGCCAGCTGACAAGTGTGATGGACCACTCTCCGTTCTCTCATACATCCTTCCCCACCGGCCTGACAATGACGAGAGCTGCAATGTAAGTTCTGCTGTGCAACTGTAACCCCATGGTGGATGTGTCCCTGGGACATGTGAAACCCCATCACGTTTAGATACTAGTGCTCACTGATGTCTTGAATGAAATCACAGGGTAGGACTCAACAACTCAATGAATCACGTTCAACTCATTAGACAAAAGCACTTCTCCATGATATCGGAGAAAATATGGAATTATTACTGCGTCTAAAATTGTCTGGAAGAGCTGACATACAGTAGGTTGGCAGTAAACAAACCGTGTGCTTCTACGTTTTGGCAGTGTAACCTCAGAGCAGATCTGGGGGAGGTTACGTGCGTAGATGTATTGTGCTGGCAGCCAGCCTGATGTTTTTCTTGAGGTCTGTTTCCATATGCAGGTACAATATAGCCTGTCTGCTATGACAGTCTGAGAGCATCAGACAGCACGATTACGTCCAACCCACACAACATTAAAACTATATGCTAAAACCTGCTGAGGGTAGAGTGCCAGCTCTTGCTTGCATGAGAACATGTTGCTCATCAAGGGAAAAGTTTGGATTCTCATTACCAGAGGTGATCAGGAACCTCCTGTTTCCTTTCCTGTCTTCCTTTAGGATGCAAGATCCTATAGGGTACCAATCCTGGTGAAGCACAAAGGCTTTGGTCCGGTCAGCACTGCAGAAAGTAACACGCACACTCGGCAGCTGATCGTGCGGCAGGAGAGCGGTCGGGTCCCCACGGGCTCTGGCACTCTGCAAAGACAGCAGTCCTCCCAGGCAGCCGTATTTAGACTTGTCCTTCCGCCTGAACTTGTTCTCCCATTACACAGCTGTGCGGATTCCTGCACATAGACGCTTCACTATAGGCTGCCAGGAGACCGTTTCCTGAATGAATGCATTAATGTTGTGAATTTTGTATTGGCACAAAAAGTTAAGACTCCTATTCCAGCTACTGGCAGAAATAGTCATTCCAACTCTGTACACAATTCACCTGGAACACTGTCTCTTTCTCATTCATCAAACATCGCCTGATTTCAGGTCCCTCTCTTTAAAGCTGCACTTTTGGAGCAATATCCATCTCTCTTGAGCAGGTCTGGCTTCCCCCTGTTTAGACTCTTAACTGCTCTGGGCAGAGTTGTCTTCCACCAGAAGTCTCGGAAAGTCCTACAGATATTTCACTGTGGTTTTTCTCTGGACTGCTTTCCTCTGAATCAAGATCCAGCTGGTGATCTGGAAGTTACTGATCTGGCAGTTATTAGTGCCTCTATCCTAGTATCTCTGCCCATATGTAATTTTATGGCAAAGTCAATTTTTTTCCTCCTGATATTGCATGTTACGGTTCTCTTAAACTGCTGAAGTCTTTTTTATTAACTGTTTAGAATAGAATCATAGAATCATAGAATAATGTCATCTTCTACTCTTTGATTTGTTACATTCCAGTCCAGGCCTCTTTTCTCTGTTGGTCATGCTACTTATGGTATATGTATTTACAGTTCTGGGAGGAACGTCAGTGCTATTACAAGGTCATTAGCAGATATTAGTCTATGCTCTTTACATAGAAAACAACCACTCCAAAAATATTTAAATATAACTCTTGGATGAAAATAGTCATGCAAAATTTTGCCATTCAACTGCAGTGTCAGCTTTACTTCTGCACATGATGTTCCATCTGATTTGTTCAAAGAAGTGATTGTGTAAAACCTCACATACTTCATGGACAAAATGCATGGAATAATATGAGAAGTTTTGCCTAACCTCTCCACATCTTTTAAGATCTGGAGAAATATTAGCTTTCCCCCTACTCTGCTCTCGTTGCACACTTTCTCTCTCTTAACGCAGCCGTTGGAGAAGACCAGTACTCCTTTCATTTGAATTTATTCCATTTCCAAACTGTGTTTATTCACGTTGAGGTTATACCCATCCATTTATTCTTGTGTCAACATTTTGTCAACATTTTTTCTATGGCTTAAATAGCCCTTCACTGGGCTTCTTTGGAATTTACCCTAGTGATGATTTATGATGATTCTCAAGGCATATACTTCTCTCTATTCATGGGACACCCAGGATCTTTTTTGCTTTTCTTGAAAGAGATGATGAGCATTTGAGTAGCCTTCCTAGGCATCTGTTTCAGTCTGATATGTCTTTTTTTTTTTCTTTTTTTCCCTGGAACATGAAAGAGAAAGTACTCCAGCTGAGATCTCAAAGCAGAAATTATTTCCTTTCCACCGGACACAACTCCTCTGATATGATCTAGGATTTGCTTTTTCCATAGCTGTGTTATAATGGTGGCTCACAAACATGCACAACCAGTACACCCAGGTCCTTCTCTTCTATCTGCTCTTTCACCTGAGAAGCTCCCAGTTTAGCAGAAATTTTTGCCATCAGTATGGATAACCCAATTTCATACTGTACCAGGGACTTCTCTATCTACATCCTCCAGTATGTTAATCCTGTCTTCCTCTGCATTGACAGGAGCTCACAATTGTTTGTTTGCTTGCTTTTTTTTGTTGTTTTTTTTTTTTTTTCACTAGCACACTAATGACCTTGGCACAAAAAGCATGTTTGAAAACATTACACAAAATCCTTCCCAAGACCAAAGCTGGACGAACCCTACTAGAAACTTCCCCCAGACCACTATTTTCCCTTTCAGCAAAGCCTTTACATTTCTCTTTTAATAAGTGAGTTCCTCACCCATCTGTCTACACTCTGATCATGTTCAGCTTTCCAGCTAATAATTTGATATCCAGAGATGTTTTTTTGTCCAGAATATCTGGTATATTTTAGAGTGGATTTTAGGTTAACCTCCTTATTGTTTGCCTATTTCTATTTACCTGCATGTTTTCAATTGTTATTTTTTCCTTCTAAGACTCACTGTACTATTGAGGTGATACCAACCAGCACAGATGGAGCAAAGTATGATTTTAAACGTATACACTTCATTTGTCGTTCTGCAGTAGCACAATGTTAGCTGATCACTGTGTTTAAAATCCTTGCTGCTGGACCTGAGGTTTCATGGCGCAGTTGTGGAATAGAAAAACTAAAACCTAGAGCAGTTGATAGATTTTCTGGGGTCATGCAAATGCTGTCTTGCTGGACTTGGTTTAAAACCAGACTCACAGTCCTGTGATTTATTCATATTGCACATCTTTTACAAACTCTTAGGAATCCTCCTTGTATTCAAAAATGTGAGCTTTGTAGCAATGGGACTTCCCTCTAAACTCTGTAAAATGCAGATTTCCTGCTCAGAAGGAAGGCTTGAAGACAACAAAAATGTCACAGTGATTGCATTTGCAGTAAAACCCCTGTTGAGGCCCGTTTGCAGACTGGCAACATGATCACCAGGCTGAATGCTGAGCAGGAGGCTTCCTGCAGCCATGTGTTGCCAAACGGTATTCCTGGAGCATGGCACCGCAGGCGAAGGGGAGAGGGCAGGGCAAGTTCCCTTCTCTTCCTTCTTAATTTGCATCTTTCTTTTCATGTTCCAGGCCGAGTTTTAGGTCTTAGGTTGCTAGTGACATGGAGAAGCAAGTTGGTTTGGAGCTGAAAAGCTTCAAAACAGCGGAGTGCTGACTGGGTCATGGACATTTGCTTTAGAGCCGCCAGCTGTGACCTAGCTGGTACTTCGTGTCCTCTCTGTGCAAATGATTGTACTCACCCTCTTGGCTTCTGTGGGATGATTGCTTTGGGCAGGCTCTGGGATTGTTGAAGCTTAGTCTTGAATGGTGAGAGGATCGCTTTGTAGGAGGAGAAGCTGGCTGAGACAGTCAGAAAGGGGTTCACTTTCAGGAGTAAGCCCAGAAATAGAATTTTATCAGCAAGATTTCCAAGACACGTGGGGTCCACATGTCCAGAGGCACAACCCTCCTTTCATTACTTGCTTCCCTGACAGCAGTGTAGACAAACCAGCCTGAGAGGCCAAAGGGGGAAAAGTCCTGTTTGCTCTGTCCTTTTCCCACATCTGCTCCCCACTGTGCAGTCCCTGGGGCTGGCTGCAGCGCTCATGGGACACATCACTGGGCTGGTTAACACACTCAAATAGACAGCAACTGCAGTATTTAGCAGGGCTGATTTTCTGATGTGTTAGTGAGTTACATTAGTTTGTGGATATCTCCAATAAACACTGGGACTGGCACAAGGCATGCAGTGGGAGCAATCCCCTAAGAGAGATTACACCCACGCAACCTGACCCCAGTCACCACTCTGGCAGCATCACCTCCCTTTTTTTTTTTTCATATTGGGAAATGCTTAGTGAAAGTCTTTTTAGTCTTTTTTCCTATCAGTGACTAATATATATGTTCTAGTAACTGGATTTTACGTGTACCAACAGAAACCATAGTCCCAACTATGTAATGAATCATAATGGTCTCCTAAAAATGCTGTGGAAAGGTTAAAATAATATTGTATTAGGTGAGGGGCTAGTCAGATAAGAATAACGTGTAGGTGTAGGATTCAAAGCTAAACAGCCTAGAGTTTGGGCTTTGGTAATACACAACTGATTAATATGGAGCTCTTTCTTTGAGATAAAAAAATATGTAGTGACCAATGGATCTTCTAAAAACATACGGCTGTTCTGAAACACCTGCAACATGGGGCCAGCTTTTCCTAGATGACTATGGTCATTGCCTCAACCCCATCCTAAAATGGGTCCTGAAATAAAACTGTAGGAATCATCCTGCATGTTAAGTTTCAAGCCTGTTTTCTTGGAACTTGTTTACCTTAGTCATGCCTGAATAGGGCATAGAGATTCTTCAAATGGACCCAATGTTTAGAAAAGTTGCATTTGCTTTTGGAGATGATTTTTGACATGGCATATTATAAAACACATTTCTGTTTACATTTCAGAGCTTGGAGGATGAATCAAAGTGGGTTGAAGATCTTCTTAAGATGCACACTGCGCGCGTACGTGACATCGAACAGCTCACAAGCTTGGACTTCTTCCGAAAGACCAGTCGCAGCTACACAGAAATCCTCTCCCTAAAGACATACCTGCATACGTTTGAAAGTGAAATTTAGCTTTCTAACCTTACTCAGTGCATCCTTTTATCAACTGGTGTATATTTTTATATTGTTTTGATATTTATTAATTTGAAACCAGGACATTAAAAATATTAGTATTTTAATCCTGGATCAGATCTTAAATATTAAACCCTTGTGTCATTTGTTTTGTTTCTCTAATGTTTAACATAGGTATGTCTCTTGGTTTATTTAGTAGCGCTTGTAATACTGCAGCTTGAGTCCTTACTCCGAGCTTTTATGTGGTGCTGCAGGATTTAATATGTGCATCAAAGAAATATTAATTTCCCACGCTCCTTTACCACACTTGTAGTCCTGTACTGTGTATCAAAATACTGAACATGTAAAATTACATTCATTTACTGTTAACTGTGTGACAGACATATTTAAACCCTGTAGACAAATAGCATCTTAAATATAATAAACCACACATTCAGTTTTTTTAATGTGTTTTGATTTCCTTTCACAGGGACGTTCAGAGGGACTTGCAGGTAGCTGAGTGCTGCCAGATCTCTCATTCACCGGGCAGAGCCCTTCTCAAGAGCTTAGGTTTGCTGGTAAGAGGACTGCCAGGAGCCCAGGTGCCCTGAGACCATAAAACAGACATCCACAGTAGTCATTACTGGTTAGGCTTTGCCATAGGGGCAGAGCTGGGAGAGGAGGTTGGTTGCTGTCATAAGCTGTCAGGGGTACCCCACACTTAAGGCCACTTGGCCCAGCTCTGGAGCCATGGGGAGAATGTGAGGTGACAACATCCACTGTCACCAGGCAGGCTGTGTCACATCCCTTCTCCACTGCCGCTGCTCTGGGCTGGTTCCTGGGAGTACCCGGTCCATCGTCTTTCACTTTGAGGGAAGCTGAGATAGGGCAGATGTTGATGGAGATGACATTGCTAAACACCTAGCAGTGGGCTTTTACCTGGGAGGAGCGAATCTGATTTTCATCATCTTGTTCTAATGGCCAGAATTTGCAGAATTTTACCCTAATCTGAGGCCGAGTCTGAGGCTTAATGCCAGCCTTCGTTCTCAGAGGAAGCTCCTTGGCGTGACGGCACTATATATCTACTGGTGCTGTGAACCCCATAAAGTGCATTTACATTATGTGGGGTTACAGATTTCCCTCTCTCTACCAAAGTGGTTTGTGCCTATTTTCTCTTCAAGGGTTGCAAATGCTGGAGGGAGGCGGGAAGGGCTGGAAAGCATCTCAGCCATGTACACAGATGAGTGGCCAGGTCTCCTAAGTAAAATTATCATCTGGCACAGTTTTAGAAACTTGCATCTCTGTAGCATCCATCTAAGAGAAAATAATAAACTGGGATTAATCATGTTAACACTAATGATGAAATTTTTGTGACCAGTAAACAAAATTTTATTATTATAGGTGCCAAATTCTGTTTAAATTAGAAGAACGTAGAACTTGAACGCTTTAAAATCCCCCCAAAAAGTTAGGGGGGGATTTTAAAATCCCCCCAAAAAGTTAGGATGGAAATTCTCATAACTGCATAAAGCTCTGGAAAACATCCTATTCTTGCTACTTAAGAATTGTCTCTTGTGGTTGTCTGGTAGCACAGAAATATTCTTCTGTAAGCTTTTGGCAGGGCTTCCTGCCATGATGAACTTTACGTTCTTACATGTGCTACAAAGGGTATTTCCTCTGGATTTAAAACAATTTTCAGCTAGACCTAATTCCTCTAACACCAACTTTAGCAATGATATGTGGTTGTTCATAAACTAAGCTAAAGACCACCACTACTGTCTTGCTTTGATATTTGCTTGTTTCTTTGTTTGCTTCTTTTAATTAAATCTATCAAATGCTTTGATTTTTTTCTCCCAAAACAAGATGACATTTATGCCAAAGGAACTTGAATTTCAGAATTTAAACTCTGAAAGATATTCTTCTTCTTGTGTTCAGGGAAGTTTGCTTTTGAAATAGAGTTAGTGATGACTGTTGGGAGAGATGCTTTAACTCTATCTGAATTTCACTAACAAATGAAAATTAGTGGGTAGGGAAATGTGATTTTTTTACTCATTTGCTTACTGTGAGAATAAATATGAGTAATTTACTTCTATTCTACTTACTTCTCTTCAGCCTCTGGGCCCATCCTCTTGTATGGTATTGCTCTTTCGTTTTACCATGCTAGCAGAAGTAGCTGTGCTGGGGAATGTTTGTGGTGACTTCTGTGAATTGTACGGTATTTTTTCCCGTTGAAAGATGTCTTATCAACACAAAAACTCCAGTGCAAAGCTAAAGCCTTGTAAATCTCTCTAAGCAGCATGAGCTCTGTGGGAGCAACAGACATTTTTAAGGAAACTTGTAATTTCCCTTTGGTATTCACCAGGGTGAATGTTAGTTTAGGGCAGTATATAGGAAGGAACCCCTCTGCTTTCCATTCCTGTTAAACCATTTTGAAAATATGTGATACCACTTGCTACTGTTACATGTTTCCTTTTCTCAATATTACTCTGGCTTCTGCAAGAGGTCCATTGAGGAGAACAAGCGCTGGCTTTTTCTGTAGAGCAAACACCAGTTTTGAGGGTTTGGGTAATTACTGTTTGCAATTGGTGATGTAAATTTGAGGCATGTTTAACGAGTTAGATGCAGTTCAGCTGAGCAATTGTCAAGGCCACAAAAGCCAGAGGTGCCCTGCACACCTAACAAAGGCCTTATACTGTGGGAAAAATCCTCCAGTGGAAGTTATGCAACTGGAATATCCCTGCTATAGGAGACTGTTACTTTTTTTAACCCGTTTTTCACAGTCACATACCAGAACAAAGTCCTTAATAGATAAGCACTGAAAGCAGGTCAAGTAACCTGACCAACAGCATGGTTATGATAGCAAAATTATAGCAAAAGTCACCATCCTGTACTGCCAGTACTGACATATCCAGTTACCACTGATTATATTGTGTCCTGGTCAGCTAACAGCCTGATTAGATTTATACTTTCTGCTTGCTGCTCCTTCCCTGTTCTTCATTTCCAGCTTTTAGTCCCTTTATGATGTTATGTGCAGCATTCAACAGTTTCTGCACTTGCTTGGACACTGGCAGGGTTTTGGTAATAGCAGATCAGTTTGTATAGTGTTACAAAGCACTTTCAGCTTCAGATGAACTAGAAAATTAAAAAATATGATTGTCAGGTCTGCACCATCATGTGAAGGTTTTCTGGTATTCACAGGCATATGGTGTGAGTAAATTTAAAAATCCATGTTTAATTAGGCCAATCTTGCTGTGTCCCTGGAGGCTGCTCCAAAACAACCCTGCCATAGTCTCCAGCTTCTACACGCTTTATATGCAACCAGTCAGTCAACTGATTGTGTGAAGATTTTAACAAATGAAAACACTTGCTTCTTGTAGGAAAGGCCAGAAAACAAAAGCAGTGATCAAGAGATAAGAGAAGTTTCCCACTTCAGGAGACAGAAGAGACTGAACAGGTTGAAGGTTCAGGAGATGCTGCCAGAAGTGAACCTGGGCTGGAGAAGATTTATTTGGCAGGTTTATGAAGTCCCTGTTCCCCTTGCATCCAGCTTCTTCCAGTAGATCAGACCTCCAAGTACAACAGATGAAATAGCTCCCTACTTTCTGCACACAGCCAGGAAACAGAAGGCTTCTCAGGAAAGCTGAAGGAGTTCCCCTCTGATAGTGATACTGGTTGCAGGAGCAGCACATGAACTCCAGAGTCTCGGAGCCTGTACAGTGAGGACAGAGTGCAGGATCCAACCTGAAAGAAAGAAATTCCTATCAGCGGGAGCTGATCTTTCAGCAATCTTTCCCATCAGTCTCATGTCCACCTAAATCATCTTTAATTAACTATAAATTTGCATTACAGAGCTGTTCAGCTTACCTCAGCTGGTCTCTGCAGGACACAGAGGAGATATTGCTCGTGGTGCTAAGCAGCACCAGAAAATTTCCTTTTTTTTTTTTTAATTTTATCGAAAATTGCAAGCCCTCTCCCCACGGGAGGGCAAATGCATTTGTTCTGCCCTGCAAGAGAAGTGGGAGAAAAACAGACTTTCCCAAGGCAGGGGCATGTGTGGGTGCTGCAAACCTGCCACCGCCGCTCCAGTATGGTGCTCTTCTAACACATTTTGTACTTCATGGCAGCGGGGTTTATTCTGCTGTTTTGGCACAGAGGACAAATGAAACTTCACAGCCTTCCTGGGAAGCAGCTGTTATCATAGGCATGGATGAAACTGTGGTATGGACAGGGTGAATATGTTTAAGAACATGTGTACAGTAAGCCAAATAAAGCTGGTCACAGCTCTCCTGCATGGGGTTTGATATGTGGTGTTTTCAAAATGCTTCTAGTAGTGCTACCACTGGTGGGACAGTGCAGGGTAAGTTTTGTAAAGCAGAAGCCTCAGAATCATGTGGCTGAAGTAAAATTTGGATACAGGGCTATAGAAGCAAAAATCTCTTTTGGGGGGGACAATAAATCATGCTGAATTAGTTTTCTAACAACCCCATCCATAAAAATGCTTGTAATAGGTTTGGTTGCTACTAGAATCCTCCCCTGTCTTGAGAGGGGTGCCACACTGTGTGTCTGTCCATCTTGTCTGTAGTCCTAGTCCAGTTTGGTTTTGTGACTCTAGTTTCTATTTCCCTTGCTGCAGTCCCAGACAACCATTGCACTTGACCTGAGATACACAGTATAGTCATGGTAGTACTCTGATCAGGATAGACCTGCCAGCACATGATGAGTACTGTCTTAACTGTACATTGTCCAAGGGGGGTAGTATGTGTTTAAAATGTTTAAAGTTCAGCCCTTGTTCAAGACAGGAGAAAAAAAAGGCATTTTAAACATTGTGGAAAAATACCTAATCTCCTTTCTTTGCACTTCTTGTGTAAATATAAGATAAGAGCAGTATTCCCAAGGTTACTGCAAACAGCCCATCACTACAGAGTACAAGCTAACATTTACTAAAACGTATGTTGACATAAAAAGTAGCATTGCTGCAGTCAACCACAGTAAACAAAACCACAAGTTTCTTTGCCTTTACAAGTAAAAAGTTGGGGATGTAACCTATTCAGACCTGCCCTCACAAAGAAAAAAGCCCTGCCCTGCTATAGCATCCCCAGCATGGTCACAGTTGTTCTACCTTAGCTGTTGTTTTCTGAATATTTTAGGCAGATGGAGGTCACCCAGGTTTCATCTACACGTTTCACCATGGAGAGATCAGCGGGTAAAGTTGGTAATTGTGGATTAGCATAGCTGTAACTGATTGACCCTAAAACTGGAATTTACTAGAAAAGAGGTGGGATTATTTGTCATCATAAACCTTCAACAGAAAAGAATGAAATCCTTTTCAGGAGATATTTTCTGGTGAAGTTTTCTGTTTCCTGGCTGTGTGCAGAAAGTAGGGAACTATTTCATCTGTTGTACATGAACGCCTAATCTATTGGAAGATGCTGGATGCAAGGGAAACAAGGATTTCATAAACCTGT